TAAATGTATTACTATAAAAAATGTGTGTTATTAACAATGATTAGTTTAATGTTTAATGATTAATGTTTATTGTTGTAATATTTGTTATCATTTCTGTACTGCTCACCACAGGGGCCTAAAGGCCACAGTCCCTGGACAGGAGTGTCACAGTTCCTGCAGACATCCCAAAAAATCATCCAGTTTGCCTCAGGAAAGGAACCACAGCCAGGAGACACCATCATCTATGTGGCTGGAGCTTTTGACCTATTTCGTATCCTTACATGCTTAGACAGTAATTAGAGCACCCAAAATTTCTTCTGTTAAAAGCAAAAGAATAAAATAAAATATATGATATATGATATAAATGTTTGAAAAAAATATATAACTGAATGCATTTATAAAAGAGATTTTTACAAATCTGGTGGAGGTGAAGATTGTCACTAAATAACAAATTCTGTGTGTCTGTTCCTCACACAAATTGTATGACTTTAGGTGATTGAACAGACAGAATATAAATGAATTTTGGGGTAAATTTTTCCATGTAAGATAGACAGTTGGTGAGCATTGGTTACTCACAACACCATCAAGAGCTATTACAGCTATTATACTACTGAAAGTAAAATAACTTGGAGACAGGACAGGTCCCCCTATTATATAAAGCTATATAAATCACTTTTATATACAAAGGTATATAAATAACCTCACTGGGCCATAAACATTGTTATCATTGTTACTCTGTTCATTCTCTTCTCTATTGTCATTTTTATTTGGCATGCTGGGAACTTTATGTTAAATGCTCTGCAGAAAAAAACAAAACAAACAAATGAACAATAATGTCCTTTCAAACGCACAGTGTGTGGGCATATTAGTCTATGCTGGAAATTATTCTTCAGCATTAACGCAAACAGCTAGCACAGAATAGAGATTCATTATGCTGTCATTCTTTTATATTTTAAAATAATGAATCAATTATTGTTAATTTTATTTAGTTTTCACATGGGCACCCCATGTGTTCTGCACCAGAACTCTTGCTTTCTGTATTTAATACATTCACAATGTGAATAAAAGTTTTGTTTGTCATGCTGCTAAGAGGTTCAGTGGCTACATACACATTTTAAAACTCTCTTTGGATGTTTTGTGTAAAATGTTCAATTAGTTTAAGAAAATTTAAATGGCTGACCTTTTCTCCCTGTGGAAAATACAAATTAGGTCCTAGATTTTTTGTCACTGTGGGTAGTTTTACCAGTGCTGTAGTTTTTCTCACTTGATTTGTGAATGCGCATACTGTATTGTTGAGCCCTTGAGGCTGTAGCGACTCAGCTCATGACAGGAAATATGAATAATTAACCAT